GTGTCTACTTTTAATGTTAATTTTAGATGTGTGGTTTTCTTTCTTGTTCACATATATACATTTTATTTTTAGCTTTGCTTTAAAGTTCTTGTTTTGTGATTTGTACATTTGTGGATTAAAATAAAGTTGACCTGAAGGTCGTCTCTTTTCTTTAAACATGTTTGAGGGAAATATTCCTGAGAGATCCAATAGTTGTGTCTTTTTATGATTTCCAGCTTAGTTAACAGTCATTAAAGTGAAAACAGGATTTCATGATAAAGCTGGCACCGTTTATTTTATTGTATTTTAAATCTTCAACGCTGGTCTCACACGATCCTCTCCTCTGTAGACAGGACGGGCAGGCTCATCTTCCCAGCTCCGAGCTCAGCTGGTGACTGACAGAAGGCCGTTATCAGACCTCAGCCTCACGTAATCATGAAGGCCCGACCCGCGCAGACAGGCGGACAGAGACGGGTCTGCGATGAACTGTGGAAGCTATTTTAAAAAACATTTTACGTGTAAAAAAAATAATTTTTAAATCGCTTCAGCAATTTTTTAAAACATTTTTTGTATTAAAAAAAAATATTAGTTTATTTAAAAATCGCTTCCACCGTCGGACCCAGACTGTCCAGTCCGCCTGACTGCCAGGCGGGATCAGGATTCGGCCTTCATGATTACGCGCTGTTGGGGTCTCGCAACGGCCATCTGCGAGTCACCAGTGACCAGAGGAGTTCTGAGCACACAAGGCTGGTATCCAGAACCCAAGCCTCCGAGTCGGCACATCGAAGGATCTTCCGCAGTGACCAGTGGAACTCGGAGCCGGGGAGATGACGCCCTGCCCGGCCTGGCGCTCCCAGGCTCCGGGGGGAGGATCTGGGTACACCAGCAGAGCTCCATCCAGCTTGCTCTTAATTACGTCGTCGGCCACCAAGCACAAAAAACGCCAGCACGTCAGCATTAGACCAAGATGTTGTCAGTATTGTTTTTAAAATCTTTAAAATAAGTCCAGCCGCTGCTCCAGTCCGAGAAATTGCAAATGGCGGATCATTGTTTTGAAAAGTTTCTGAAGGATCCAGTGACTCCGCCCTCGACTCCGCCCCCGACCAATCAGTGACCTACAGTGTTCTGACATCACGTTTTAGTACCTCTTCATTTGGGTTAGAACCACAGAGCCAAGGGTACTGAAAATGGTAACAGGTGCTAAGTACCGGTACTAATGGAAAAGCCTCAGAACCGGGCCAAGTAGGGTCCAGTCGGCCCGTACCAGTACTAATGGAAAAGGGGCATAAGTCTCACCTGAAAACCCACTTGTATTCCCTTGCCTTTGACACGGTGTGATTTGTTTTGATCCAGTCTGTAGTCTATAGTGTTGTCCATTTAGTTAATATCCACTGCTATTTCAATGTATATTTTTATTTTATGTTTTCGTGTCCGCTGTGATTGTTTCTTTTGTACAACACTTTGGTTGGCCTTGTTGCTGTTTTGCGTGCTCTATGAATAAATTGGTATGGTATATCAGGACCCACTGCAGTCTGCTTATCGCCGTGGACTTTGAGTTGAAGATGCCATCATACACCTGTTTTAGCAAACTCACTGTCATCTAGAAAAGGCAGACAGCTCTGTGAGAGTCATGTTCTTTGATTTCTACAGTGCATTTAACAAAATCCAGCCTGATTTACTTTGTCAGAAACTTCAGAAAACTGAGGTGGAAGCCTCAACAATCACCTGGATCAAAGACTACCTGACAAACAGACCACTGTTTGTGAGACTGAAGGGCTGTGCGTATAACCAGGTGGTCAGCAGCTCAGGAGCACCACAGGGGACTGTACTCTCACCATTCCTTTTCACTCTGTACACCTCAGATTTCCAGTACAAAACAGACTCCTGTCATCTGCAGAAATATTCAGATGACTCTGCAGTGGTCGGGTGTATCAGAGATGATTGTAGATTTCAGGAGAAACAGGAACAGGTCCAACCCTATTTCCATCATGTAAGAAGTGGAGGTGGTGGAGAAGTATAAATATCTTGGGGTTCACCTGGACAATAGACTGGACTGGAAATGCAACAGTGAAGCCATCTATAACAAGGGACAGAGCAGACTGTACTTCTTGAGGAAGCTGAAGTCCTTTAATGTTTGCAGCAAGATGCTGCATATCTTCTATAAGTCTGTTGTAGAGAGCGCTGTCTCTTCTACCATCATCTGCTGGGGTAGCAGCACCAGAGCAAGTGACTTCAAAAAGATCAACAAGCTCATAAAAGAAGGCTGGCTCAGTTCTGGGGACTCCTCTAGAACCTTTGGAGATGATTGTTCAAAGGAGGATTCTTCAAAAAATGAAGAACAGTATTGACAACCCTCAGCATCATCTTCATAAGACTGTCATACAACAACAGGGAGTCTTCAGTCAGAGGCTTCTTCAGATCCACTATAAGACAGACCGCTGCAAGAGATCCTTCTTGCCCACAGCCATCAGCATCTTTAACAACCATTTAATGAAACCAGAATGATGAGTTACCACAACATATAATTTCCCTCTGGGATTAATAAAGTATTTTTGACATGAATATCAGTCTGTGTGAAATGAATGAATATAATATACAAGTTTCTTTTTTTGAATAGAATTACTGAAATAAATCAACTTTTTCAAGATATTATAATTTTATGACCAGCACCTGTATAAAATGAAAAGTAAATGGATTATATATATATATATATATATATATATATATATATATATATATATATATATATATATATATATATAAAATAAATATATAAAAAATATATATATTATAAAAAATTTTTTTATTAAGGTTATTTAAAATACTAAAAAAACAGGAATATGTCTGTGTTGTTTCTTGCCATGAGCTTAGCAGTTATCATTATATAATTATTAATATTATTATTATTATTATTATTATTATTAATCATTATCTTTACTTGCTACTTCCTATTGGGTTACCAGTGCCCAGCATTGTTCAGAAACTATTGCACTTCCTAGAAGCAGCAATGTGAAATGACAGAACAAGAAGGGTTTGAACAAATGCACCCACTGAAATCTGAAGTAAGATCACTGAAAACACACAGCCTCAGAGCCTAACATTAGCAGTCCAGCAGGATCTTAAGCCACATGTGAAGATTCACTCAGAGCTGTTCAGGTTTAGGTCAACATAAGCGCCATTTCCTTAGGGAGAAGTAAACAGAAGAATGCATGAGTGCAGCACCTAAAACACTAAGGAAAACAAAAGCAAGAGCTTTGTCACAAAATATGAAATACTCAATACAAGCTTTACCTCTATCAGTCTAAACTTCAGCATTTTATTTGAACATGCATGCTTTTCACTTTTTATGGTATTTCTTTTACTTTTAAAGGCAGTCCTTTTTATTCATTATTAAATGAGAGAAAACGTCACATATTGACTGTGTAAATATGAGTCTAGTTCTTTGTTACATAACAGTAAATAATGTCAAGATGTCATTGAATGATACAGAAGTCATTTGATGGACAGTTGTGGGTTACATGCAGATGCTGAAATGACTACTGGATGTATCACTAAATAGTTTGACATGATGATCTTTTGGAACTGCAAGAAACTTTCTCTAAGCAGACTCAGGTTTTAGTTGAATACACCTGGTTCAGATCAAGTCAAGCCTGACTTCTGAAGTCAGTTACTTTACTGTTCTCGTTTGGTCAGGGTTACACTCACCTACAAAAAACTTAATTTTTGAAAATTCTTTGAATTTAGAACTTCATAAGTTTTGTTTATTTGCTTTTTAGTCAAAGCCTACTGCAGCTTTCAAACCTTAATGTCAAATCTGCTGAAAATCTATGTTGAAATGTTTACAATGCTTTTGTTCACAAACATCAACTCTTCAGGCATCAATTTATTTTACTTCCTCTCTTAAGGCATTAAGGACAAAACTGTTCCCTTCCAAAAAAATCTGTCATAAATACATTACAGATTGTTTTTTTCTTGCTTTTTTTCTGCAGAAATGTGCCATGTGTACTAACATAACCAAAATTACGATTAGATGTAAGGGGGAAAATAGGTTCAAGCTGATCCATGAGGACCTTTGAAAGGTTTCACCCAGGGCTTTTTATGAATACTTTTGTGACATCTGACATGTTGATGAATATGTGTTTGATAGAAAAACAAGGAGCTGGAGGAATTTATTGAAGCTCAGAAACGCCAAATCAAAGAGCTGGAAGAGAAGGTGAGAACCAAAAACCTCTTCATCATTACTTATTTCCCTTTGATACAGTTTTCCCATAATTTGATGCTGATTTTCACTGTTATGCAGATGACACCCAGATCTACCTTTACATCAAATTCTATTCCATCCTCATACCTCCCCTCCCATAACAACTGCCTTGATTAACTCGAATCCTGGTACTCTTAAAATGGTTTTAAATTAAACAGTGCCAATAATGAATTCCTCCTCATTGGAACAAAATCAACATTACCCAAAATTGACAGTTTCCCATTTTAGTGAACAACGTCCTTGTTTCCCCCTCCCTGCAGGCTAAAAGTCTGGGTTTCATCCTTGAAAGTACTCTGTCATTTAAATCTTGCATCAATAGCATCACCTGGTCAGCAGATTTACACCTTCACAGCCCTAATTGTCTCCGCCCCTCCCCCACCTGCTGCTATACTTGTCCACAGTCTTGTTACCTCCCATACTGTAATTCTTTGCTTTTTGGTCTTCCTCACATATCCTTTAATAAACTACAACCGATTCAGAATTCATCAGCCTTCAACACCAGAACCCTCTCCTCCAGCCACATTCATTCAACCTTTATTTATACAGGTTAATCCCATTGAGCTTCGGGGACTCATTTACAAGAGAGACCTGATTTCTTTAATAAAGAGTGATGACAACAGTGTATAACAACCATTCTTCACAAGCTTCACTGGTTTCCAATCAAACTCCACATTGGTTTCTCAATTCTTCTGTACACATTTAAAGCCATTCATAATCTCACCCCTCCATACTTGTTTTACCTCCTTCACATTCCCACACTGTAAAATCCAATGAGTTATTACTTTAAAAAGCATGCAAACCGACTGCACTTAAAAAAAAAAAAAAAAAAAAACTTAATTCAACCTTTATTTATACAGGTAGTCTCAGTGTGTCACGAAGACTCATTTTCAAGAGAGACCGGTTTAAGACAGGCAACATATAAAGTGCAGACAACAATATATAACAATATAAATCAATTAAAATAACAGTTATAAAAACAAAGAAGGCAAGGTGACATAAAACAAGGTAAAATAATGTAATATTTTATGGGGCAGAGAAAAATGCACAGGAATCGTTCAGCTTTATCAAATATATCAATCAACCTTTATTTAGACAGGTAAATCCCATTGAGCCTCGAGGACTCATTTACAAGAGAGACCTGATTTCAACAAAGAAAGATGACAACAATGGACAACAGCAACAACAACAAACAATTATGAAAAGTCATACTGCAGGGTTTTTTTTAAATACAAATAGGATGGCTAAAAGGAAAAGGTAACAAAACAAAAAACAAATAAAAAACTGCTAGATTCTAAGGCGAATGTAAAAAACTAAAAACAAGAACATGTCTGCATTGGTCCCTGCCAGGAGTCCAACAGATTCTTAAAGCCACTTAAAGAGGTCAAGGTCGAGAGCTTCAAATCTTTTTGTAAGATATTCCAGGAAACAGGAGCGGAGTAGGAGAAGGCCCTTTTGCCTAGTTCAGTCCTCATTGAGGGAACACTGCAGGTAATAATGACCTTAGAGCACACACTGTAGCTGCACTCACGCAGAGGCATGTAGGAGGAGATGTATGAAGGCAGCAGACCAGGAAGTGATTTAAAGATGAAAACGTACCAGTGAGAGAGTCTGCGGGAAGTTAATGATGTCCAGCTAACCAGTGAATACAGGGTGCAGTGGTGGGTACGATAATCACAGCCAGTTATGAATCTTAGTGCACCATGATAGAGAACATCCAACATCTGCAGGGTTCTTGTAGGAGCGTTCATGTAAATATTGTCACCATAATCAATTGAGGGAAGGAAAGTGAAAGATACAAGGCGTTTTCTAGCATTCAGGGTTAGACAGGATCTGTTTCTGAAAAAGAAACCCAGTTTAACTTTCAGTTTCTTTACCAAGTTTTCCACATGGAGCCTAAAAGAGAGATGTGAGTCGACCAAGATACCCAAATTTTTTTTTAGGAATCAACAAACTCAATGGGGACACCATTTGAGGATAAATTCAGAGGAAGAACTGCTGGGACCAACTTCCTATTTGAAAAAAGCATCCCTTTAGTTTTGTCGGCATTTAGGACAAGTTTGAGGCGGAACAAATCAGTCTGGATGTAGTTGAATGCAGAATTCAAAAGCTGGAAAGCCTTAGCAACAGTTTTAGCTCGACAATAAACAACTGTGTCGTCAGCATAGAAATGTATGGATGCATTAGGGATGTTTTTACCTACATTATGTATGTAGATTGTAAAGAGGGTGGGTCCTAAGACTGAGCCTTGTGGTACACCATTGTTGACTGTTAAATAACTGGAGGAAGTACCATTATGTTGAACACATTGCCTCCGGTCTGAAAGATAGAGAACCAACCAATGGTGTGTTCTGAGAAACCAATTTCCGAGAGTTTGTGACACAAGATGTTATGATCCACAGTGTCAAAAGCTTTAGACAGGTCTAAGAAAAGTGCAGCACAATAATCCTTAGCATCCAATGCTTCAACAACATCATTAAGTACCTTCAGTGAAGCAGTGGTTGTGCTGTGTCGTTTCCTGAAACCAGATTGATGTAGAGGTAAGATGTTAAATGAGTCCAGGTAATTTTTGATTTGAGAGTTTATCAGTTTTTCTAGAACCTTGGCTAAAATGCAGAGTTTAGAGATTGGTCCATAGTTGTTCAGTGAGGTGGGGTCACTTCCCTTCAGCAAAGGAAGAACAAAGGCTGTTTTCCAAGTGCCTGGGATGGAGTTTTGTCTTATGGAGAGATTGAAGATGTGGGTCACAGGGACTGTGATGATTTGAGCAGCCAGCCTTATGAAGTAAGATGGAAGTTCATCTGGACCTGCAGATTTTTTAGGGTCAAGATCTTTTAACAGTTTATTGACCTCACTGACTGAGAATGGAGAAAAGGAGAAGTTGTGATTAACTGAGGATTGACTTGTAGGAGGGATTTGATTTGTAGAAGTTTGGTTATTAGGGGAAATTGCTGATTTTCTGTTAGTAACTGTGTCAAATAAAGAACTAGAAGCAACAAAATGTTTGTTGAAACAGTTCAGGATCTCGTGCTTATTTGACACAGGAACAGAGTTAACGAGAAGTTGTGATGGGAGGTCAGATGATTGGGTGGTGCCTGAGAGAGATTTGATGGTTTTCCAGAATCTGTTAGGGTCATTTAGATTTTTGGAGGTCTGAGGTAAGAAATAGTTGCGTTTTGCTGCTTTGATGGCAGTTGTACATTTATTCCTCGTCTGTCGAAAACTCAACCAATCAGTGTCTGAGTCAGATTTTCTTGCTTCGGCCCAAAGATGGTCTCTCCTGTGCAGGAGGTCAGCTAGCTCTGGAGTAAACCAGGGGCTGTCTTGTCCCTTTATTCTGAACTGACGAAAAGGAGCATGTTTGTTCACAAAATAAATGAAACTATTATGAAAATAGTTCCAAGCAGAGTTCACGTCATCAGTTAACAGAAAATGATGCCAGTCAAAGTGAGACAGATCCCAGAGGAATGACTGTTCACAAAAATGTTTCAGATCCCTTTTTTTTAATTAATCTGGGCTTAGAAGGTGGAAGTTTAATATCTCTCAAAGCAGCTGTCACACAATGATCACTCAAAATATTAGCAAATACACCTGTACCAGGGAATTTGTGAGGCATATTAATTAGAAATAGGTCTAAGATGGAGGATTTTTCAGGACGGTTTTTGTTTAATCTAGTGGGAGAGTCGATCAATTGGATAAGATTGAGAGACAGGCAACAATCCTTGAATTTATCACAGAGGGGGATCGACTTACACCAATCAATGTTGAGGTCTCTAGCCAAAAGGATCTTTTTGAATTTTAAATTACCAAGAAATTCCATCAGGGCAGACAGAGCCTCAGGTGATGCTGAGGGTGGGCGGTAGCAGCAGACTACAGTTAAGATCTGGCCTCCATTCAAGGTGATGTTTACAGATAAGGCTTCAAACTGGTTTGGAATTGTTTTAGAAGACAAGACTAGCAACCAAAGACTATCTGATGTAACAGCGACCCCCCCCCCTTTTTTTGACGATCACAGCGGTAGATGTTAAATCCATTGATTGCCAGGTCATTATTCAGTATAGATTTGTTGAGCCAGGTTTCAGAGATGAAGATAACATCTGCCCCAGAAGAACTGACCAGAATTTTCAAAGCATCAAGTTTTCTCAGAAGGCTACGAGCGTTTACATGCAGAAAATGAAGCCCAGACACGTTCTTAAAGTCATTTGGTGTGCTGTAATTAGTGGGGGGTCCAGGGTTGGGCTGAATCCCTTAGAGCAGTAACAACATTATTATCAGACATTTTCTTGAGTTTTTTGTGACTGATGTGTAATTACACGCGTTAACAGTGTGACAATTAGCCCCCATAATCGAATCATGAGAAACATTAATGAAGACGTGATCATTCAGAACCCAAAAACAGTGAAAGTTGCAGTGATGGGCAGATTCAGGTGTATTAACAAGATTCAGTGACTCCAGATAATCTGAGAACTGAAAATAGTGACAATAATATGAATGATGCAGAAAAGTTTCAGACCATAAAACGCCACAGTTCAAATGGGCAAACAAACCCGATGAGGTGGCCCAACTGCAGTTTGAGTTGGGCTGAGAGGGGCTCCGGCCCCCCAGTGAGGATGGATGGATGCTCCCATGGGAAACAGAAGCTGGGTCCAATATCAACAGGGCGAAACAGAAACTGATAATTCGCAGCAAATAGTAGAGCGAGCTGCCAGAAAATCCTCCTGAAGTGAAAGGCATGATCCAAGCTTTGCTGAAATTCCCACGGAGTTTTTGAACAGCGGCCAGCACTCTCCCCCACCGGTCCTATCTGAGATTCCTGCGTTCCTTCTGCGTGACCCTGGCCTTTCTCCATGGAGGAAACGTCGCAGACGTCGTGGGAAGCGTGCAGGGATTTTGGTGAAACTGAGGCAAAGTGTGGATTATTTTATCAGGACTCGCTCTGGATCTGATCATCTCCT